GCACAGTGGGACATTCTAAGCAGTACCACAAATAAGCTATTTTCTTCCCAGTCTTCCCACAGCCCAGTGCTGCAGTATCGCACCTATGACTTTTCTCTGGGTGTCTTGAGACCCAGTGCTCAAATTCATGTCTGAGGCAGTTGCCAACTCCAGACCACCTTGATCATAGAGGAGGAGAGGCCAGTTACCTGGCTAATTAAATGAAAGGGTTGTCAGATTGGGAGAATGTTAAATGAAAACATAGATTTGGCAGTTTAAGCATCAGGGTTTGAAATTCCTCTGCTACATTTCACACCAGAAAACATGTGTCAGACTGAGATGACAGCGCCAGCATAATTTCCTTTCCTGGAGTTTTAGGGGCATGTCCAGCCTGTTGAGAACAGTGGGGAACACGGAATAGATGAGCCCCTTCCAGCCTGATGACGCCATTCTCCCCTAAGGAGATCATCGATCCTCCCTACCTGGAAAGCTCCTCTATCTTTTCAAGGCTCAAGTGTGGTTTCATTTAAGTGGTTTTACATTAAATATGTATGTATGTATGTACATATGTGTCTATGTCTATGTCTACTATAGCTCTGTATCTGTAGCATGGCCCCCGACTGCTGTACGAAACCGTTGTGCCCACATGGACCATTCTTCCATCCTTCACTGTCTCTCCACTACAACAGCCCTTCAAAACTCCCACTCTGCAGAGGAAGAAGAGCCACGACCATTTGCAGGGTTTCCTACAGTTTCCTACAGTCATCTGACCCCAGGAAGGGAAGGCAGGCATCACAAGATCTAGTCAGAAAGCCTCTAAAGAAATAGGTATCATGGGAATGAAGGCATGAGGGGAGCTGACGTGGTCTGAGTGCTATGAATGCAGGAATCATGTGTGAAATTCTTTAAAAGAGAAACGGTTACTTAAACTTTGAAAGGCAAAGAAAGAGTTTAAACAAAACCAAAGGCCCTGCCATTTTATTTTTAATAACCTGTCCCATGCTCACATTGTTCTTAAACAGATACGGAGACAACACAACCCCAGATGTAATTAGTATCCACTTTCCTCCTGAAAACAAAAGTCCGATTTGTCATGTGGAGTGCATGAGCGTATGTTAGGACTACAGAGAGCTTTACACAGCCGGCAAGTAAACAGCACTTCAATCCTGCGCATAGCCCCATCCTTTACAAATTTTTCCTATAACTGCAACAAAACCGTATTAGATAAACATGTCACCAAGATACACGTGAAATGTGAGAGAAATATTTACCAAGTTGATTAGAAACTACAATACAGAAACATACCTGCTATCTCAGTGTGCTAGATTCATCGTTTCAAGACATTAGGAAGGAAAGCCTTACAGCAAAATGCTTTCTTTACCATCTCATGTCTTAGATAAATTGTGTTAAGAAGGAATATTTTCAGTGTGGTTCAGGCCTTAAACGATCGTGTAAACTATTCCTCTGCTTTATCTCTTTTCCACGTTGCACTGGGATAAAGGTAATAGTAGAAAGTGGGGGGGGGGAGGGATGTCAATAAAAAAAAATAAACTTTTCAAATTATTCCCCTATAGTTCTTACGTCTCCAGTGCCCAGCTCGAAAACTTCAATTTTTAACTCCCTTCCACCTGAACCCTTCCAGAAAGTAGGTCAGTTCACCTCAGCAGACAGCTGCAGACACAGGCGGAGGAGAGGCTGGAAGAGTTTTGGCACACCCTGACATAATAAATGTCAATTACTAAGATTTTTGTGTTTCCCATATTTTTTGTCTCCATAAGCTTTCCCATGAAGGCACTTATTAACAAAAAGAAGTATCTCAAGTTTTACACAGATCAGCAATGTAACAGAGTGCACTCAACAAGCTCGCTACACCACCGAGAGAAAAATGGAGGAAGTCCTCTTGCTCAGATTTCAGCCCCAGAAGGGTAGAGTTTTTGTGCTGTAAACCGCCAGCCACTCTATAAAACACATTTGTATTCACCTTCCTAGACCTTGCCTACCTGTCCCAGGAACAGGTAGGTCTTAAACTCTTCTGACCCCGAGCCCACCATGACGACTTGCAGGTTATGGTGTTGACAATGTTACTCTGCTCTTAATTTCAAAGTTGAGGCTCAGAATGGACTCTTACTCAAACTGCTGATACTATTCTTCATTCATGTTGTTCCTCATCATGGGAGGTATACAGAGGTCTGTCTGAGAAAACATCTTTTATCTCCTGCCTCATGATGATCAATTGCTCATGGCTGCCCAATAGCTGGCCAAAAAAACAAAAACAAAAACAAAAACAAAAAAACGCTGTCACGTCTAGTTTCTAGCAAAGAGGGTTCAGGTGCATGAGATATGTCTGCAGCCTTCACTAGTAAGGAGCCCGCAGGTAAAAAAAAAAAAAAAAAAAAAAAAAAAAAGCTTAGTATTTGCTACTTTATCTCCAACCTAATCCAAATCTGAAATTTCATTCAATTCACAAAGCTCGTGATGCCTCACGAAGTCACTTTCCCTTCCTGAAGCCCTGGGCAAGATTTAGAGGCTTCAAAGACTTCTGAATGTATATTCCCATGAGTCATACATACTTCCAGTCTGAAGTGTGGCACAGCAAATTCCTCCTGGCGAATGAAGCTAAAGGTCAGCATGGAGCCATGTTCCCACCTCTTCCCCAGTGCACAGCAAGAATCCTCTCAAGAGCATCAGACGGGACTTTGAAAAGTGCTGCTGACTTCTCCATGAAAGCAAGGAGTTCAAAGCTCTTCTCTCCAGAGCAGCCCAGCCAGGAGCATTTAAGGACTCGATGGACTGTGCTGGTACCCTCCCCGCCCCAGATGCTTTCCCTCATCCTATGCTCTCCCATAGATCCATACATCAAACACAACCTCAAGATCAGAGGAAACATCCAAACTTGATTTCAGACTTCTCCCTAAAACCACTTAAGAAAACCTTGAACAAAGTAACTTCACAATGGCAAAATACAAACCCAATGTGCATGTGTGCACATGCATGCACATACATACCACACATGTGGGAACACACACACACACACACACACACACACACACACACACACACACGCACAACTGCCAGAGTGAAACAGTGCTCTATGAACTTAGCATGTGGGAAAAAAATCAAGTCTATTCTTCTTTTGATTGTTTCTAGTGTTGTCAGGTAGAAAAAAAAGCTTAATTTTTTCTGATGTAAACCATCAAAGAAGTCCCTCTCGGAATTGTTGCCTAGAGAAGGCTTATCACACAGACAGAAGCAACATATGTTGCTGACAACCCCCTCTCCCAACTTTGTGAGCACCTTTATTATCTCTCCACAGCAATCTTTCTCATCACTCTCCATCCCCCTAATCAAATAACATTGTTTAAAAAGGCAATTTCACTTCATACTTGCTGCACTCTGCGTCATAACAGCACACAACCTTTTCTCCCTCTCCACCCATCTCTTTGAAATCCTTTGTGCCATTTATAAAGTGTGACAGACAGCCTCTCTTCCTCCTTGCTCTTGATTGAGAACAAGACACTTAGGCCAGGGCCCTTCAAAGAAGGGTTTCACCACAAAAAAGTTCAACTGCTGTAACTGCAAGTATATTTTGATGAAAAAAAAAGTGAACTAGGTTGCTTTCCTCAAGACTTAAGACATATTCCTTCCTTGATGAAAGCTCAGTCTACCTGTAAAAGTTAATTTAGATGCTTCTAGAAGTATCCTAAAGTAAAAATACTGAGGCCATTAAGGAAGCCCCTAAGGCAACAAAGACACTGCAGCCCACAGACAAACATTAAAACATGAGGAGACAGAGGCAAGCTTAGATGCACCTGGAACAGAAGACCCCCAGCTGTACAGTAGTCCTAAAGATCTGGGATTCTCAGACCATGGGGTTTCCATTTTCTTGATCCTCAATACCCTGGCTGTTGACCGAGCAGCTCTGCAGCTGCCCACAGCTGTAAACTGAGCCTGCAGAGGCCACAAAGATTCCTATGTTACCTGTGCACCCTCTGAGTCTCTAAAAGTTGGCATTTTAAGGAAATCTCCATCCATTCTCCTGCCTCTTCTCCCTCTCCTCTCCCTGACTTCTTCCCCTACTGATAACCTACTACCTACTGCAGGGATTCAATTCTCTAGAAATGGCTGACCTGGAACTCCCAAGGTTTATATCCCGGAAACCAGTCTTTAAACTATCTACAACTATGTCACAAACCATAGCGATCTTTTCACACATTCATTTTTGCCCAAAAGAAAAATTTTAAAATTGTATTTTTTTTTTTATTGTGCTCAAGAGTCTTAGGCACCTAGGAAAATCTCTCAGGAACACACTTCATCAGTGATATGGCTGGACCCATATCATCGCAAGGAAGGCTTTCTTCACCTACAAGTGAGAATGAGCATCAAACACACATGCCTCTGTTTCATAAAAATAGCAAGAAGACTCATATTTAAGCAAAGGAGAAATAGGAAGGGTCCTTTTTCCCTTCACGTCCTCCAGTAGCCCCGGTGATCCACCGGCAAGGAGGGACGCCAATAAGGTGTCCGATAAGATAAGTCTTATAAAATATATAGATTTACGATAACTAAGACTGAGCTAACAGATGAGAATCCTAATCATTGGCCAAGCAGCACTGTACCTAATATGTCTCTGTATTATTTTGTCCATCCACTCAGCGGGCAGAACTCAGGTGGCTGGCGGAGACCACCCACATGGCGGTAGGGCTCAGGCAGCTTTTGGCAGAAAGATTTATGGTAACAAGGACCTTAAAATAAGCACTTGAGTGGAATTCGTTCATACATTTACTTATTCGCTTATGTGTGTTCACATGCATACTTATGGGCTCCTGTGCCATGGCACCCATGCGGACATTGGAGGGTCAGTAGTTCTCCCTTTCTATCACAGCAGTCCTGGGAACCAAACTAAGGTGGCCACGCTTGGGAGAAAGAACCTTTACCAGCTGAAAAACCTCAACAGCCCCATGGGTGGAATCCTTTACTAGCTTGGGAATGGTGTGATTAATTTAAAGCACCACAAAACAATGTATGTTTACATCACCCTTTTATTTCATAGTTAGAAATAATACAGTTCCAGAGGGTAAATCATCAATAAATAACGGTGTTTAATCATTAAATGTAAAAATCCCAACTCTTTGGCATCTGACAGGATTCTATTACTTGTCAAACTATTGACTGTATAGATATAGTTAATCTTAGTGATCATTCAATACAATATGTTACAAAGGTGCAGTTTACTTTTAAATAGACAACATCGGAAACTTTCCAGCCACTGAAAACTCTGATCAACTCAGTAAGACGTGAGCCAGCATCTCCATGGCTCTCTCATACATGCTGTCACATGGCTGCCTCTGTGAATGCATAATAAGCATCCATTAAGAGTTCCTGGGGTTGCCAACATTTATTCTGCTCTAAATAAAATTTGCCATTCATTCTGGACAGAGGAAAACCACAATTGTTCCAGGAATGGCCCATTCATCAATTAAAAAGTCTTCTTAATTTGTAATCAAGACTGCTAACCCCTAAGAAACTCGAAACTTGAAGTGCCAAAAAGAAAACAAAATATGGAGTTAGTTCTATATAGCCAGATAATGCCAAATCAGTAATAAATTGCACCTTTAAGACTGGATGAAATAGAAATGTTTACAAAAGGTAAGTTACATACATTTATGGTCAAGAGTAGTTGAGCTGCTTCTGTTACTAAAGGCAAGGAATTATTTCTTTAGCAACAAATTAAACCAGTGTGATAGACGTAAATTGTTAGGTAATCCAGGATTAGCCCATTAAAACTGTAGAAGCACTCTAGGCTCCTACACTAATCCTGAAACTGGAATTTCGGTGAGTGCTGTGATGCAGAGAACTGAACCCGGAAAGACCCAAGGATGTGCTGCTGAGTGGTTATCACCTCATACTCAGTCTAAGCATTTGATCGTCAAAATCAGGAGAGCCTCTGCGAGAGCTGTATTCACTTACAAGAAATTGAGATGCAAGCAGTACTATGCCAACAACCCAATGGAGAGAATCCTTTCCATCTTCAAGTCCCATGTGGATTTCAAGTTAGAAAATAATCAGTAAGGAAATGTTTCCAACTGACGGAAACTCCATGTCACAAACACTCTGGACACGCATCCCACCCACTACCCATTGTAAAATAAATACTTTGTATCCCAAATTTAATTTTATTAAGACACACTTTAATAATAATGCTATAAAGGAATATTTTACAGCCATAGAGATCGGTAACTTTCCATGCGGAAATAAAAAATTCCATTGCTCAATATTAGTATTGAGGCAAGTGAAGAAAGATTACTCTCTTAATCTGAAATGTTAATTGTTTTCAGTGCAAAACCAGTTATAAAATATTTAAACTCAATATTTAAAAATAAAACGTGGTCCAATTCAGCAGTGTTCAAGCGCTAAATTTCAGAAGACAAATCATTACATACATTGTATAGTAAAATACAGAGATCCAAGAAGCACTGTGTACTTCGTTATAAATTTCTAATGAATCATACCAAGTCAGCAACAACCAAGCAGGTAACATTCCCAATTTGAGTGTCGGAATCATAAAGGTGAAATTACTGCACCAAAACCTTGTTCTAGCTAAAAAGCTATGCAAACTAACGGTCAACATTCTGTTTTCTTTGCAGTTGCGTGCTCTAGAATGATATCCCCCCGCCCCGCCCCAAGTACCTGTGATTTCATTCCTGTATCCAAAACTTGATCCAAACAATTTTTTTTTTTATGTTCCAGGAACACTTAGCTGATATAACCATCTCTAATGTGAAGGGTCATGTACAGAGAACGACGGTAGATTATTCTCTAGCCGAATACGGGCTGGCCTAAAGCGGTCTAAGCTCAGTGCAAGGCGTTCATGTATTATTCCTAGCAAACACTCGGTCCCCTCGGAGGGTCAGGTGTTGAAGCTGGTACTGTAGCACTTCTGTGTCAGCTGGCTCCTTGATGCTCATTTTGTCTAGATTGAGGTAGTCCAGGGATTTGGAGTGAGCCCTCTTACCTTTAAGAAGACATAGAGGCAAGGGCCCATGGAGGGCCTTATAAGGTTCATAAGGTAAGGATTTAGTGCACTTGTCTCCCGAGCTGGGCATCCGCCTTCGCCTCCTGCCATTAACAGCTGGAATCTCATATGGCTGATAGTACCTACTTCTAGTTTTATACAGACGAGAGGAGCGTGCAAGTCCAGCATCCAGCTGTTTGGAGCGGAAGGGCGGCATGGCTTCTCCCTGGCTCTCTTCCCCTCCAGTGCACTTCTGGGCTAACTTCAGGAGTTCCTCACCAGTTGCAAAGCCAACCAAATAGTTAGAGTCCATGTGGAGGATCTGGTAACCAGACACAGTCCGACGCATGGGCGAGCATGGCGTGCTAGAGCAACGGGGTTTCTCCGCCTCTGCCTTCCCCGGCGAGCTCCCCTCAGCCACAGGTAATGGCAGGGTGGTCAGGGTACTTCTGGACTCCCCGTTTATATCTACTTCCATCTTAGGCACCCGGATGCACGCTCCTAAAAGTAAACAGACTCAGATTAGAACAGGGTAACACAGAGCTCTGGGCCAAACCGGATCCTGTTAAGAACACTCCGAGTGTGAATAGCACACATGTGGAAGACTGACAATGCACGACGGATAGATTTCTGCCTGTCTATTGGACATCTCAGAGCAGGCGAGAAATGCCATTCAGGGGCTCACGGGCAGGAAAGTGAGAACTTGAAGCCCCGCTGGGGTGTTCACATGAAGAGGTCAGAACTAGGGACTTCTCCAGTCAGTACTTACTTTGTGCATATGGAGTTTACTCCTCGATATGCTTCAAAATTCAGCACGAATCCCAACACTATGCAAAGACAAGAAGGCACACAAGTGTCCACAAAGAGTTTCAGATAAATTCTGACTTGAAGATTAAATTTGCTCTCATTTGTCTTAGATTTGTAAGGGTCCCTTTCACACCTGCCGTTCTCCACACTGTGCTGAAGGGGACCAGAATAGAAGAGAATACAACTTACTGACTGAGCAATTCACCTAACAACTATTCTGACACTGTAGCAGAGGATTTGGAGGAGGGGTAGAAACCTTGCAAAGACTCTTCCTTTGAAATCTCCAATGAATTAAAAACAAACAAACAAATCTGTAGTTAAAAGTTAGCCCTAAACCTAATAGAGCATGTAAAATTGAATGCTAAACATATTTAAAATGAATCCAGAGAAAAGGCTCAGGGGCTAGGGGACCTTGTTGATCTTCCAGCAGACCCAGGTTTGGTTCCCGGCCCCCACGTGGCAGCTAACAACCTAATGAATGCCTCCAGATGATCCACTGCCTCTTCCGGACTGTATGTGTGTGACGACACCATATGCACGTGGTGCAAGACACATATGCAGGCTAAACACTCAGACACATAAAATAGAAACAGGACAGTCCTTAAAAATATGTGTAAAATGCCGGGGGTTGGGGGGTGCACGCCTCTAGTCCCAGCACTCAGGAGGCAGAGGCAGGAGGATCTCTGTGAGTTCGAGACCAGCCTGGTCTCCAGAGTGAGTTCCAGGACAGCCTCCAAAGCCACAGAGAAACCCTGTCTCGAAAGAAAACATTTAAAATGGCAAACGTCACTTTATATGAATATTTAATCATAAAACATATCATGAGCACACCATTATTTTATTTTACAATGCTTAAGACAGTACTCTCGAACAGTTTAATAAAAAGAATGATTCACAATGAATAATAGGATTGTTCATTGCAATTATCACTCTGTGTAGTTTTGAAAACCTAATGACACACAGTTTTGTGAATAACGGCGAGGTTCCTAGAAAACAGCAGATAATACAATTTGGGGGGAAACAAACTAATGGCGAAAACAGAGGTAATGCCTCTTGAGAAAGTTTAATTTTACTTGGATTTCTATTGGTTTTAAGGAAGTATCTCCGAACACTAATCAAAATGTCAAGTAGCTCATTTTCATATGAAAAAATGTACTGAGAAAGGCTATAATGTCACGTCATTCTCATGAGATCTTTTCTAAAACAAGGAACTGTTTCCTAAAGTTTCAGTGCTCATTTAAATTTCAGGCAATTAGAAAACTAAAAGTAAATGAAACAGCAACCCTATGAAGTTTATTCGTACATTCCTTCACTGGGAGAACAAGGAGGCACAAGGGGCCATCTGTCCCTACTACAGTCACCATATACAGCACAGCGGAAAACAAATGTTTATAAAGATGCTGCAACAGTCATGTTAGCAGGATCCATACGGGGGTCAGTTTACTCACCATTTTAAGCTATTCTCCTGGATGTCTAGATTTAAAGTCACTGGTTTTGTTGTATTTTGTTACTATTCTAGGATAAAACTTGTTTCTCTCCTCACAGGATCTGAATAGTAACTGCCAGTCATTCTAGACATGAAGGACATCTCAGCTTAGGAGCATCACAGAACCATACCAAGCTACGCCCAACTTTTATGCTTAACAAACTTTGGTCCTAGGCCAAGTGACAAAGAAACCCTTGGTCACTAACTCTGTACGCTTGAAGAGAACAAGAGGACAAATCTAAAGTCTTTAATCTTCACAACCTGAAAGGCAGATCTTTATTCTGAAAGGCTAGGAATGGAAGTGTGGTGGTGAGATCTAAGCCTGAAACACACACACACACACACACACACACACACACACACACACGGCCTAGAACAGCCACCGAGTCAGTGACACTGCAGAAGACACCTGCCCTCACAGAGTGAGTACTGCCTTGGATTTCTTCCGAGCCTGGCCCTCCATGACAACGCATGGTTTTCCACCAGCCCCCTTGTTTCCAAGTTCTATACAAGCTTCTGAATGCCCATAGTCCACATCACGTCTATTTTGAACTGGGTGATAATCCAGATCAACACTGTGCTGCAATGCCTCAGAGTGGGGGAAACTGCCAAGCAGGTTTTAAAAGTGTGAAGCTGTAAGCATAAAGTGTCAAGTACAGACTTCTGTGGTCAACGGCAATGTCAAACACCTGTTCCAACACTGTACCAGTTCTGCTTTACGAAGGCAAACTTGGAACTGTTAGAAAATATTTTTGAGACTAAAGATAAAGACAGCAGAAGATAATGATTTTAGAGGAACAGGCAAAAATGGTACATCCCTTTAGAAAACCGAAGACACCAACTTTGACTTGTCATGCCATACATGTTACTGTTCGATGAAAACTTATCATTAGTTAGGCTTCCAGAGGCCAATAAGAAATAATCACCCAGCCCAGATGTAACTGTGCAAACAGATCTTCACACATCTACATGGAAGACAATGACTTAACTTAGGTTGTCACTACAAGAAAGAGAGGTACCTAGTGTGAGAAACATATTGCATTCTACAATAGGCAGACAACACACTCGCTACTACAGAAAACACTTCTGAAACAGAAATTAAAGAAATAATCGTGGGTAATATCCCGTAGCATAAATAGCTAATGCAGCAACTAAGGGCAATGCAAAGCAGGTCATCTCCCATATAAAATATCTGAATGAGTATCTCCTGGTTTAAAATATGACATATGCAGCAGCTACCCGAAGAACTTCTGAGAAATTCTAAGGGCTGGAAAACGTTTACACGCCTTAGATATCACATATTAGTACTTACGTCCCCAGTGACAAACAGAGAGCATACTCTCCAAACAGCTCTTTGGGTGGCTTACTTCATCTCTGTGGTATACTGATTGACATATGAAAAAGAACATCTTCAAGCTTTGATCCTCAACAAGAGCCAGGGCTCTCACAAACTGCTTAGAATTCTTATGACTATGCTAACTGTATCAACGGTGGTTTCACCAACACTTTCACCAATGTGTATAAGGTTCTTTGATCATCTATCCCCAACTTACTGTCTGTATTTAGCTCCCTCCCCTTCCCACTGGTCTCCTTTGCCCTCCTTAACAGCCCCCTTCTTCCATGCCTCTCCACAATGAATGAATGTGGCAATTATCTAACTTGTGTTCCTTAACATGCCAATCTCTTTCCTCATACATTATTCTTCTAAAGGACACCACTGTGCTTCACCACAAAAGCAGCATGGAGCCAGGCTTCAGAAAGGGAACACCTAGGGGCAAGCTTTGAGGTTCACTCAGATAGAGAGGCAAACCAACTAGCCATGCAGCTCCCATTGTCCAGTGTGTCCATCCAAAAGAGAAAATGTTGCGTTACTGAATCCTTGAGAATTTCTTGAATGAACTTAAAACACTGAGACCAAAATCTGAGGAAATAATGGGATCAACTTTCACAGACTACTTGTTAAATAGAACTGTTCCAGTTTGTAGAAAAGGCCTGGGTGCTGTTCTAATTCCCAAATTCTACTTTTAAAAACCTTGGCAGCAAAGACCAACCAACCAGTCTCCAAGTCAGCCCACCCACCACAGCTGAAGACTACAGGGTGCACTCACCACACCTGGGGGCACATCTTGAGACAGGAACTCTTCCATGGGAAGCACATTTCATGTTGTTTGTGGGTGTTAATGTAACTCAGGGCCCTGTGCATACCAAGCCATACTCCTCCACTGGTCTCCACTCCAGCCAGAAAATTCAGCTATGATGACTGTAACAGCATATTCTTCCAGCTTTTCCACGAAAATGCTGCTATGGGCTTACTACTTTTAGCAAGTCTATTCACGACTGACTCAGCATTTTTTTTCATATTCTAAAATGACCCCATTTCCAAAAAGTTTACTGTTGAGAATGGGTCACATATATTCTGGTGTGCATCATCAAACATTTATGCAAAGAACACAATTTCTGCAGATACAATAAACAGTGAATGAAGAACTCTGCTGTACAGGGTGGGCATATGGCACAAGAGGCAAAGTGCTGGCTGTGCAAGAATCAAGAACTGAGTGCAGATCCCCAGAACCTACTAAAATTAGGTACCGCAGCATCCATATTCCTAGAGTTGGTGAGTATGCAAGACAGAAGAAAATCTGGGTCTCTCAGGCTAGCCAGTCTAGCCAAAACGGAAAGGTCCAGGTCCAGGAAGAGACCATGTCTCAAAAATAAGGTGGACAGTGATAAAGGAAGACACTTGATACTGATCCCTGGCCTCCACAGGTGCATCACAGATGAGGACATGCACGCACACACACACAAGAACTCAGATCCAATGCTTCTACAGACTGCATCACTAAAGACACTCTTCTTGTTTCCATGAATGCCTCCTATACATAACTAAGGCCAAAGAATAGAAATAAAACTAGAAGAACTTACACTAACAGAAGCAGTAAAATTTCCTTGGGGGAAAACAAAATCTAGAATAGAAAACAAAAACTATAGAACTGGGCAGATAGCTAGGTCAGCAAAATGCCTGTCTTGCAAGCTGGAGAACCTGAGTTGAATCCCTAGAACCCACACTAAAAACAAACATACAGAACAAGTGCTTGTAATCTAGAGGCAGAGGGAGCCCTAGGGATTACTGGGCATCCATCCTCACTTATTGGTGGGATCCATTTAAATGAGAGACTCTGTCTCACAAAGGGGGAAGATGACAGCAACTGAGGAACAATACTCCAAGGTGTTGTCTTCTGTCCTCCCCTACACACACACACACACACACACACACACACACACACAGAAAGAACACAACACACACACACACACACACACACACACACACACACGTATACACACACACACACACACACACGTATACACACACACACACACACACACACACACACACACACGTGCGTGCGCACACACACACACAAACACACACACACAATTTCATGTATATGCATAAACACACACATACACACATACACCCAAAAGATAGAATTTAAAAACGTCAACTTATAGTTACACAGTGCTTTTAAAACTGTG